AAATGTTCAGAAACCTTTTAAACGTAAAGATATATAAAAAAAATTATTTTCAATTTTTCTGCGATTACTGGAACTTACCCTACGGAAAGTTAATTAATTAAATCTTAAAATTAAACCTTGCATTAAACATAATCATATCGACTGTCTGATAACAAATTAAGAAGCTGGTTATGAACCAGCGAATGTTTTTTGAACCATTCAAATTGGTTGATCCGTGCGCCCGAAAACGTGACTGGAAAATTGCATCCCTACATACATACACACACACATTCATTTTTTCTTTTCAAAAACCTTCAAAACGTCGAGAAATGTAAAAATTTTCAATTTCGATTTTCGGTCCATGATAATAAGTTACGGGAAGTTAATAATTTAAGACAATATACAAATAATTTACTTTATATAGCTTACTTAAACCTTTATAAAATTAACATTATTATAAATTTATAGGACATTATATAATTACATTACATTACATAATTATTATACAATATATTACATATACAGAGAATACACATACATGTACACTGTTCTAATTAGGTGACAATGTGAGAAATCCGTCTTGAAATTCAAAATAAAGATTAATGAAGATAAAGTTAGTATCGTTTTTCTCGCATGACACGTGCTATTTTCATTTCCCATTATATATATAAATATAAATATATATATATATATATATATATATATATATATATATATATATTGAATGGTAGAGTCTTGGATTTGTGTATATTTTGTAGAGTTTCGAACAAATCTTGTTTAGTGAAAAAGTGCTAACATATTCTCAAACATACAGGTAATTAATTCAATTTTTGTCATTAACCTTTTCATTAAATTTCTATAACTGTTTAAAAAAAAATTTATCATTTTCAATATCCTGTTAAATAATCCTCTCATTTATTTTTATCATTTTCATTTTTATCAAATTATCATATTTCTGTACATTATTATTTTTTCAACTAATTTATTATTTAAGAAAAAAACATTTTCTTTTCTTAAACATATTGTTTGCTTAAATCTCATCAAGATCATGTTTCTTGACAGATGTCCTAAAGATGGAACGTACCTAGTTTCGAAACGTCGACAGTAAATAAATAAATAAATAAATTGTTTATTAAAAAACTTTTCTTGTTTTTTATTACTTTTTGGATTCTTGTTCGAAACTCTACAATATATATATATATATATATATATATATATATATATATATATATTAGAGATGGGTAACTCATTCCGGAGTTATCACTCCGATACAACTCCTCCCTCGGAGTGAATCCGAGTGGAGTCGTTTCACTGGATTTGTCATATTCAACATTGCCTAAAATGGTATTAAATCTGTTAACTCGTGCAGACATTTACTGTTTTTGGCGTTTTTGCTTTTGGGAAGGATGCGGTCGCTTTCTCGTCTCTAGTTTTATGACCTTTTAGGTATCAAACTAAAAATAATACCATTGTGTATAAAATACAAAAATGTTACTTCAAAGATACAGAACAATGAAATTGTGTTCAAGTGTGAATAGCTCAAATGTATAATTTATTGAATAGTAAAGAGTCATATTTCTAACTACGACAATCTTTGGCAGTGAATGACGGCAATCAGGAATATACATACCGAAAAATATACGAAATAAAATATATTTAATCTGGTTTTTCCATAGCCTGAAATAACAACACTTTAGAGTGCAAAATTTATCAGTGATGTCAATAGTATTTAAGCAGCAAAAATATTTAGTATTATATTATTACTTTTATACAATTATATAATTGTTTAAAAGTAATAATATGCTAATCGAACTACCCGATATAATATTAATTATCGAATGGAAATAGTAGAAGAAAAATTTAGAAAGCAGAAGTATTATGTTTTGCTTTTATTACAAAGTTTACTACATATTTATTATATAAAATTAATCCAAAAAATCAATTTTCTCATCAAAAGGAAATAATTAAATTGATTTTGGTTCTCAAGTTTTGCGTTTTTACTTTGGTCAACACTGCTAAAATTACGAGTCATTGAGTCGATCATCTGGTCGACCAAAAAATTTTACAATCCATCATTTATTTGTGAATATTTTAGAAAAATCATTTTATTGATATTCATATATTAGATGTCTAGTGGACTTTTTATAGCAAAAAATTACCAGCTAATTGTTAGTAGGATTCCATCCTCGACATCAGTTCTATCTTAGCCTTCCCAACGATAGCAATAGTTTTTTCAATATTTTGTACGTTACCAAGCAATCGAACAATAAATTTTTGTGTTAATGTGTATATTCTGTGTATAACAAAATCAGTGATTGCAAGTGATTAGAGAAATGGCAATGAGGCGTAAAACCAGTACTATCTGAAATCATTTTTCCTTAAAAGATAATGAAGCAAAATGTAATTATTATGCGGATTTTTTAAGCATTTTATCTTCAAATACTGGAAATTTAATAAGGCATTTGAATAGAAAACACCCCACTGTATCGATTTATCCAGCAATGCGTCGGATAATATTTTTGAGATATCGGTGATGGACCTATTTACCCACGGACCTTTAAGCCCACATCTACCCTATCTGATGTTCAGAAGTTTCTGGGCCTCTGCAACTCGCCTTAAGACATAAAGCTATACTTACATCTATTAATGTTTTGCAAAATAAGTTAGAAACTATAGTAGAAGATTATTGGGTAGGAAAATATCTTCATCTCAATACAATTTAGCTAATATAATTATAATAATCCGTTAAATTAAAACGGATTCATTACGTGACGCTATCACACACATTCCAAATACATTTTGATACCCAGAAATAGTATCATGCACATGCATTTAGGGTCTATTTACATAAATGATATCAAAAGGAGTAGTGTAGATGATTTTTATTTTTTTTGTCATTTTCGTATCAATCTACATATCAAACGCCATCGAAGCGTCCATGTCGCCAGGTACATCCATTGTGTGCATCGCATCAGCAGCTTTCGGATCAACTGTTGTACTTCCGATTCCGGTCGAAGTTTTTCGACGATTTTGTTCGGCTTTTCTCAACCACGATTTGAGCTTTTCATCTCTGCAAAAATTTAGTTATATTAATTTTATACTCAAAAATTTATATGCATTACATATTCATATGTTTTTAACTTTCCGAATGAGAAGTTTGTTTTCATAAAAAATCCGCCTGTTTGCTATTTTTATATTTTCTCGACGTTTCAAGCCATTCTGAATCGAATAAAACCCAATTTGGAAAAAAGTATGTGCGTGTGTATAAACAGAGTTTTTGCCGTAAATCGACGTTTTCTCAGAAACGGCTGGACCGATTTTCCTAAAACCATTCGATGCACCTCGTTGAGAAATATTGTTTGTCAGTTTTGTTCGACGATCTGCCAAGCCGTTTCTTTATAATTCTAAGAAAAAAGTTAAACTTTTCATCCAGATTTAATAAACTCATACTACCGAATCGATTTTAAAAAATCAAAAACTGTTCGAAAGATATTAGTTGGGAATGATACTGATTATAGTTTTAGGTGAAAATCTACCGAGCCTGTTTCTTGTAATTAACTGTTGATTTTTTTTTTTTGGGATATATTTCATGGTCTAATAGAACTTACTAAAATATTACGGCCCCATGACAAGTAATTTAATTTTAAAAAATCATCAAAGTTTGAGAAAATCAGTAGTTTTTTTGACGTTTGGTTAAATAAAAATTAGACTATTTACTTGGTGTAACGATAGAGTACCATTAAAGTCCTATGGAAACTGGTTCACTTATAAAAATTGTTGATTTTTGAAAATTTGCTTATAGAAAATTCTCCGAGTTAACGTGTTCGTTCGTTCTCAATTATGTGTAATAAGTAAATCGTTCATTTTCAGTTATTGAATTGTGTTCAAGTTTAAATCAATATGAAAATAGTCAAATACTTACTTAATAAATCCCTAGATATATGAATAACACACTATAGAGCACATTTGTGTCGAGTATTAGGTTTCGAATTTGTCTTAGTCATCGTAGTTGTTAAGTGGATATAACTTCTTTCTGAAGCGGCGTCAAATCCTAATCGATCCGGCTTTGGATATGATAAGACCAACTCTAATATGTATAGATCACTTGCCCAATTGATAATAGCGTTAAATAATAATTTGATGTTTAAATTTACTACAATCTCTAATTACAATACCGAATATAAATGTTATTGATAGATAAGAAGCTTATATTTAAGCTTAATGCTGATCTATTCATATTATTTGGAATTACTATACATAAAGTTAACTTTGGAATATTGAATTTATTTTCAAAGTTACATTAACTTATGTTTACAAAAATATATTTTAATTAATCTGCACAAGCTTTGCAGAGTACAGACTTTTAATGCATGAGTACTGATTTCTCAGGTTTTTTGGTTTAGTTTTCAAAACTTAACATTCTTGATACTTACCCATAACATGCACGCAATAATATTATATATATATATGTTGATTGACAAACAAATCAGTCAACTATCATAAAGATTTCTATTATTTCTTTGAATCTATTGAATTAATAATTGGTTTCTAAAACACATATTTGTTATCAAAATTAAGTATTCAGCGCTCTGTCAAACTCGAATGACAATGACTCTAATTATATCAAAGAAGCTGTTTACAAGTTAAATGGCAATTGAATTGAAAATCTAGTAAATATTACTAAAATAGATACTTACCAATTTTTTAATATGTATAATCAAACTAACTTACTGCCTTTTCATGTATATACAGTACAATATCGCAGAAAATCCGACTGTAGCCATCATTATCATAGCTATACATCCAGCAATTACGACATAATGAAATATATAATCAGCTTCTCGTTCAATTCGACCTGACAAAAAGAATACATAAGATTAAAGTATATTTATTTATTTATTTAACTGTTTTATAAAGGTTACAGTTTAAATCTTCGATGGAACCATAAAGTATAAAAATAATAATAAAATACATAGTAAAGATAATAAAAGTACATATATAAAAAGAGATCAACACTGCCGCTTTGACTATGACTAGCATCGGTGAAAGTAAATAATATATAGATTCTTAAAACGAATTTATAACGTCTCCTAATCCTCGAAGACGTCTGCACAAATGAATGTCAATGGGCATCAAAGTAACTCTTCTTCGGTGAGCTGTGCACAAGTAAGCGTCTTCGAAGAATTGTGTCATATAAATTTCAACAGCTTCATGTAAAGCCTCAATAGCTGTTGCTGTAAATCTCATATCATTTGCTCCTATTTTTTGTAGTGTTTCTTTAACCACTCTGCAGAAAGCGGCCTTCGGAATAAGTAAATTCGTGGTTTTTTGTAACTTCTTTATTTCTCTTAACCATAGATTTTTACGACGTCTTTTTCGAATTGTTGAATTATGCGCTACGGGGGCTTTCTCAGGTGGTGCGGTGGTGTTTTTTTTAGGAGATTTTTTATTTCTTGCCATTTCACATATATTTTCTTCAAAATAATTGTTTAAGATAATTAAAATGACCGTTAAAATAACCCTTCTTTGTCAAACCGTCTAGGCCCTGTCAAATTGATATGTTCAGGCACACCACCTTAAATCAGGCTAAGAATTTTGACATTTGCACATTTCAGCCAGCATGAAGTTAGCGACGAAATAGAAGTTACCTGTCAAGTTGAAATGTATTGGATTCATAACTTTGACAGCTAAAACAGGGCTAAAACCTGTCAAGATCATTATTATCACAGCCAAACAAGTATTATTATTATTATGATTATTATATTGTGTAATAGCAAGATGATAGCATTTACCTTAGACAATATATTACGTTAAAATACAATATATATTGTTTCCTCATAGCAAATATTGCAGAAAAAACGAAATATATCTGTCAATTCCAAGACAGTATGAAGTATTTTGATATAGTATTATAACATCAAAAGTGTTTCAATTTTATTTTATTTACTGAACCTTCTATTTGTTGTTTGTTGAGTTTTAGTTAGCTTCCACAGAATTAAGGTTAAGATCGTAACCAAACCTAATAATGTATACAACGTAAGCCTAACAAAAATAATGAATAAAATATAACCCTATGCGTAAAACGTAAGTCTAAATTATTTTTTAAAACAAAATTATAACTAAAACATTGTATAAAATCTAAGCTAGACTAAAATGATCTTTGAATGAAAAGAATCCTAAAACATAACCCTAAAATGTAAAAATTAAAATAAGAACTAAATAGGCGCGTAATCAAAAAGCCAAAGCAAATAAACTTGATCGGACATAACAAAAATAAACACAAAAAGAATGAATCATAACGAAAAGCTAAATAATATTAATATCAAATATGAAACAAGCTTATTTGATAAAAAAAAACAATACACCGACGCAACGCTGTTATAAAAATGAACAAAATGGTCGACGCGCTCTTGACATCTGAAATGCTTGACAGCTTGATATCTGTCTTCGCCGGCAACTTTATGCTGGCTGAATTGTGTCAAAGTCTTAGCTTGATTTAATGCCTCCTTGTTCAGGCGCAAATTTAATATTGTGACATGACCATGACATGACCGTTTTAGTCACAGAACTACTAGAGACGTACATTGACACATTGACACTTTGTATAATGAAGCATATTCAGTGGCTGGCAAAGAGAACGTTTATTTAATAAATAAGTGGGGCGCATGGCATTGTGCCTTAAGGCGAATTGCTGGAAAATTTACTTTGAAAAAATTAGATTCTTGAGAAACTGTAATTTTTTGACAATTTACTTTTATTGAAAAAAAAAACTTTTTGAAAAAAAATGTTTTCTTTATTTTGAAATATTTTGGAAATTCTGAACTTTTTTTCGAAGCGATCGTACTGTGCGCGTCGCCGACTAACGGATAAACATTGGTACGGAATCCATAGGAATGTTAACAAAATTTCTAGTTATTGTTAAAATCTCTATAAAATATCTAATAATTTGATGTGCATATGTCTAATGATCATTTTTGATCGCCAGATGGCATTTTTTTCTACTTTTTTTTACAAGATTTCCGAAACCGCTGGACGTGCCTTCATGAAAATTTAATCAATTCTCAAAACGTTTTTTGAATTATTAAAATCGGACGCTCCGTTCTCTTAAAAACTTAGTTACCGTTTATGGAACTCTTTGCCCCGTATCTTTGAAACGGCTAGACCTGCATATGCCAAAAACTAACCAACAGCAATCACATTTTTGAATAATTGAAATCAGTTGAACCGTGTTCCCGAAATCGTTGACGAAAATTTGTATCCGCACACACACATTCATACATCCATTTTTTGTAAGGTATGCCAAAATATTCAGAAACCTCTGAAAAATTTTCACTTTTGATTTTTTTGTGATTTATATATCCATAGATAAACAAGTATAAACTATATCTTACCCCATAATATACTCTTCATATACTCTTCTTTTATCTATGTCTTACCCTATGGGAAGTTAATTATATATATATATAATATATATATATATATATATATATATAATTAACTTCCCAATATATATATATATTATATATATATATATAATATATATATATATATATATACATAGCTGGGCATTAACTCGTTAATCCGTTAATCGTTAATTAACGAAGTTAACATTTTGATTAACGGATTAACTTTTAAGTTAACTTTTAAAAATGTTAACTTCCGTTAAAATGCGAGAAGTCCGTTAATCGTTAATCCAATGCCTACTATTTACCGCACGGCACAGCTTTAGCCAATGCCTTATTAAACGGCATAGAGAAAAGATTTGGACTACTCCTGAATGATGAACAGTGCCAACTTGCCGCGGCATTTCACCCAAAGTTTCGGTTAATGTGGCTGGAAACGTATGACAGCAGTAGAGAGGAATGCAGTAAGAAAATGCACGGAAAAAAAGGTAGAAGATGCCTTATGGCAAGAAGCAGCGAAAAATTCGAAGGACAGAGATAGTTTAAGTGGTGGAGGGAGCAATGCGAGTAACAACGATGATGACGAGGAGGAAGACTTTTTCAATTCTGTCACTCAGTCTATAGAAAAACCAAAGAGCTACAAACTCTTTAAAGAATAAAGCGCAAATTCTCGTTAAAATGTGGCTGGATATGAAATCAAAAGACTCGTTCAACGATGCTGCATTCCTCGGGGAACAGATATTCATAAATCTATTTATTAAATACAATACTGCTATACCCTCAAGTGCTGCAGTTGAACGTTTGTTTTCCACGGGTAAAGACATTTTGACACCAAAACGAGCCTCGCTTTCAGACGAGAACTTCAACATGTTAATGTTCATGAAGGGGAATATGCACCTTATGCCCGACGCTTAACCCGTCGCGCGTTTCCTATTTTTCGCAAAAACTAGCTGTAAATGGAATTCTGTCTTAAGGCAATTAAGGCATCGTTCCTTAAGGCAAATTGCTGGTACTTTCCGTACCTAAAATTATTATTTTTTTAAAAACGATTAACATTTTTGAAAAAAATTTACTTCGAAAAAATAAGATTTTTGAGAAACTATAAACTATTGGACAAAAAATTAATTTTTTTTGGAAGATCTGAACTTTTTTTCAAAGCAATTTTACTGCTTTAGGATTGCATAGAGACAAAATATAAAGCGCGTAAGCGCCGCGTCGCTGTCTAAAGGATACACTTTGGTACGGAACCCATAGGAATGTAAATAAAATTTATACTTATTGTTAAAATCTCTATAAAATATCTGATAATTTGATGTGCATATGTCTAATGATCATTTTGACTGCCAAATGGCTTTTTTTTTACTTGCATTCATGAAAAAATGATCAGTTCTTCATAATTGTCAATACAAGTAAAATGTTTTTTGAATTATTAAAATCGGACGCTCCGTTCTCTTAAAAACTGAGTTACCGTTTTTGGCTCAATTTTGCCCCATATCTTCGGAACGGCTAGACCTGCCTTTGCCAAAAACTAATCAGCACGTCTTTTTATCAATACGAATCGAATGTTTTTTGAATTATTCAAATCGGTTGATCCGTGTTCCCGAAATCGTCGACGAAAATTTGTATCCGAATACACATACATACACACACACATACATCCATTTTTTCTAAGGTATGCCAAAATATTCAAAAACCTTTGAAACGTCGAGAAATGCAAAAATTTTCATTTTTGATTTTTTTGCGATTACTATAATTTGCCCTACGGGAAGTTAAAAAAACTCTTTCCCTTTATTTAGAAAAAAATTCTTGTAAAAACAATATGCAATCATAAAAACGGAAAGTTGACCAATAGCGTTATCACGGTATGTGATAATTGTGCCATTTTCCTTATACACACGGAAGTATGCATAAAACGCGCGAGGGGTTAAATTACACATTTGAATTAAACAAGTATTTTGTTTTATTCATAACCTGTTAACTTTCAGAACCTAAACTAATAAGTTTTTTAAGTTCACTAACGCAACGATATAAAAATGTAATTTTACACATATTAACGGATTAACGATTAACGTTAACTTGCGTTAATTCTTCCGAAATGTAACGCTTTAACGTTTAACGAAGTTAACTTTTTTTGTAGCGGATTAACGATTAACGAAGTTAACTATTTGATTAACGGTGCCCAGCTATGTATATATATATATATATATATATATATATATATATATATATATATGATATAATTATATTCAAATTCCTTTCATTTTTCTGTATATTCTCTTCTCACTTAAGTCGTCCAATATTTGCTTTCTTCTTCGATCTTTTGGTCGTCATATTTTTTTTCAATTTTTTAATATATCTTTTAATTTTACAATCAAATCCAGTAGAGCTAACTAACGAATAACAATTGTTATCATAGATAAATAAATATTTTGCCGATCCATCCACTCATTTTATCTACTCTAGCCCCACTACCCAAAAAGTGTGTATTCAAATATACTTATTACAAATTTCTCTTATAAGGTTGCTGTAGTTCCTGGAAGGTAGAATATTCTTCGTTAGTGTAAGGGGTGAAACATACTCTTTACATCCTGTCAGATCGGGAGTGCCTCAAGGTAGTGTCATTGGGCCACTATTATATCTCATATACACCGCGGACCTACCACAGAAAGATGACATTTTGACAGCAATATTTGCAGGTGACACGGGCATACTGGCAACACATGAAGATCCCATAATTACATAAAAAATGCTGCAGGATCATCTTGACGTGATACAAAAATGGTTAAGCTTGTGGAGAATAAAAGTTAACAGTAGCAAGTCAAAGCACATCACTTTCACTCTTTGCAAAGGGACTTGTCCTGCAGTAAGACTTATTTACGATATTATAGATCAAACAGATACAGTCAAATATCTAGGTTTACACCTTGGATAAGAGACTAACCTGGAAAGAACACATTAAGAAAAAGAGGAAGCAGCTTGATGAAACCAGAAGAAGATATCATTGGCTCCTTGGACGAAATTCAAAATTTGACACGCATAATAAAATTTACCTCTATAAAGCCATCATTAAACCAATTTGGACATACGGCATACAGCTATGGGGAACAATTTCCAACTCAAACGCTTTAATAATTCAAAGATTTCAAAACCAGTTATTAAAA